TATACCATTCAACAGATTCTACAAGTGATTATACAAGGCGCTGCCATCATTATTTCCTTGGTTACTGGATACTGAATTGGCAGATCTGCACATTGTGCAACTTTTTCTGCTGGAGAGTATCCCTGGTCATTGCTGCTTGAACGCGCTCTACCCATACATTTATTTTATTTATTTTATTCATTTGGCATGACGGCTCAGGAGTCACAAAAGCAGAAATCCACTGTCGCCAGAAGGACGTGCGGCTCACAACACACAAATTACCAAAAACAAAATAAATATATAAACAGTAAAAAACTAAGATTTACAATAGAACATTTTTTTGAGTTTTGCCTTTAAATAATTTAAAATTATCACAAACAAAAAAACAAATTCCAAAGTCTAACAAAACGAGTGGCTATAAAAAACTTTGACATGTCATATATGTCATACCATCCTACAAGGTACTCATTTACTACTAGAAAGTTCAATGCCTAAGTAGTATAGACTCCCAAATGTTAAGGGCAATTATTCAAAAACAGATATTGGTTTTGCCAAGTTTTAGGGTAAGTAATTAGAGAACAAAAAGAATCAGACATATATTTTATCGCCGCCGTAACTCCCCCAAGTAATGTTAAACATGTCGTCTAAATTTTTCTTAGCCAATGTTGAGTAAATAATAATATCTGCTTTGTCTTCAGAGATTCCGGTGTGCTTTCGTGCGTACTAGATATCGTATGATAGCAAAATTTGTGATAGATAATTAGAGTTCCAAAATGTTAAAAGAGATAGACTTCTTGGTTTGTGCTAGATGGGTATAAATCATCAGTGACAGAAATGGTGTTTTTCCATTTGTACATTTGTGTTTTTGTGAGCCGGTCATGGTTTATCCAGTCGAGAATGGTCTTGCCTATGATTTTTAATGGGTTTAAGAGTCTACATTTTGGTTTATGTAAAAAGTTTTCATTATGGACTTTGAATGTACAAAAGCTTTCTTCATCAATGGTTTCTATTTGGTTCCAATTGTAACAAGTTCGTGTTTTTTTTGTATTTGAATAAACATGACTTTCAGCGTATATTTGCATCATGTGTGGTTATTTAAATAATAAAGCATGACTCAGGTGCGCGATGGTATTTGAGGGAAGCGTTGTGGTGAAAGTGTTATTTTTTTTCCCTTGTTTTGTTGAGTGGAACGGCTGCGTGCGGGATTGGCTGGGTAATGCCTTGTGTCTTGTATGCTGTGCCGTAGATTTCCGTGCGTTGTATGGTGTATTGGGTACTGTGGCTCGGTTTCACGTACTGGTGTGACGATGTTACAGGACAGACCTAAAACCAACACGAAGCGGGCATAAGATCGTGATCGTGAGTTTTCATGTATTTGTTTTTGGTTCTTAATAATTAAATGTGCAAGTATTGATTATTACTGTACTTACCCTTGCTTGTGTGCAATGTAAAATGTAACTTTATAGCTTTGAAACGGAATTGTAGATTCTTTGTGATGTCATATATTATTGTATTATATTGTAGATCTTAGATGGTCAGAAGAACGGGAGGAAGATTGGAAGGACAGACCAATTGCTCTTTCCGATTGACCACTTGATGCCGGGAATTTTAAACTCTGGAGCTAAACTTTATTAAAATTAT